CGGGTGAGAGGACGTCACCTGGCGACGTCTTTTACACGTGCATTTATAGTCCATCATGACCCTCTATGAAATCCTTGTTAATATGCAAAAGCTGCGCTTAATCCTCGCATGGTTAATACTGCAATAATTAATGTAGTTGCCCATGAAGTTTTTAAGAGGTTGTGAAGAAGACGTCCACTGGCGCCCTTTACACGTCTAGTCAGGCTGTGAATACTATACGTCCACTGACGTCTTTTGCACGTCTAGTCTAGCAAGACAGAAAAAATTTATCAGGATTTATAATTCTTTATAAAATACACGATTTATATACAAATGAATATATATTTACTTTATCTTGTTTTTATAAATTATAATCACAAAATGTACAGTATAGTCAAGTGATTGCAAATGCAAAGCCACTGCATTTTAGTCATTATTTTAACCTGTTGTACCTGATGTATTCGTTGTTATTTTTTTATGGAATGTATATACATGTAAAACAGAAATATACCCGGTCACCATTTATGTCTGAGTTGGATGTAATTACCCAAACCCTCTGCCCAAACCATAAACTGTGCTGCCAAGATGTAGTAACAAAAGATCTCGCGATATTACAAAATCATGCGATGGGATTATCTCGCGAGATGTTAACGCGTTCTCCCCATAGATTCTGGAACTTTGAACAACCACGAGGAGAGGACGGAGTTGTGTCGATATTATTATTAAAAATCTACTGTTGGGTAAGTACATTTTGTATTAGATTAACGTGCTTGAGTTTTACTTGTGTGACATGAATGAACCGAAAGAAATTATCCCCACATTGTCAACTGAAATTTACTGAGTTTGGCTAAAATTAGCCAGTAGGCTAAAAGTAACTTTGAACGTATACAACAACGGTAACGTTATACCAAGTATATTGTTTAATGATACAGTCATTACTGTAACTTATTAATGTAGCCTTTTGAGAGTTTCTTTCAGAAAGTAAATTATCTGAAATGGAATGAAATGTTTAGCTGGATTTTAACATGTATGTTTTCAGTAACTGCTTTAAAAATAAAAGCAGAACATATTTTATACAATAAAATAAAATGTAATGCATGTTGATTACCTTTTTCTAATGTGTCATTCATGATTCATTAATCTTGTTCCATGTTTTTTTTTAAATTTAGCTGTAGACCATACAAATATTTTGAAAATAAGTGCATATCATTTACCTCAAATTATAATTTAATAATAATTGTATTTATTTAAATATATATATATTATCTTCCCTTAGATGCTGTGAAGAGGTGGAGCCCAAATGCTACAGACTCTGAAATTGATGCAGCAATGGCAGAACACCTGAAACACGCTCCAGGAACAGCTGGTGGATACAAAAACCGAGCCAAACAATGTGTTTTTAAACGGATAGTTTCCCCAAAAATGAAAATTGTCATCATTTACTCAACCTCATGTTTCAAACCTGTAGCCTATACCTTTCTTCATTGAATTTTCATTTTTGGGTGAACTATCCCTTTATATATAATTCAGTATTTTGTAATTGGTATTTTAGTTTGGTTAACAAATGTTAAACATTGAAAAAATATTAAGATACATTTTGGCTGTTGAAGATCAATAAAATGTGCTAAATCAGAACATGCTTCTTTTTTTCTTATGTCCACAAATAATGTGTTCTAGTTTGTGATGTACACGTGATTAAAACGTTTTATTGACGGTCAGGTCTGACTAGACCAATTTTGGACCTTTTTAGAACCTTTGTCAAGATGTGTAAACTTCAAGACTTGATTGCCTTTCACGATGTTACACAATATGTGTGTGATTATTTTAAATGCAGGCTTATATACACTTAAATTATGCAGCAACACATTTAAACACACAAATGACGACGCATTTAGACGTCCAGGGACGCGCTGAAGAGACGTGGAATTCACGGCCAGATGACGTCAAAGACGTCGGTTCAACTTTCATTTTGGAACTATTTTTCAACCATGACGGGACGTGTCGGACGGACGTCTTTTCAACGGTCATTACACGTCCAAATGTTTGCTGGGAACTGGCTCCGACCTCCGTTTATACCCAACTCTGACAAACTGAATCGCTGCATTATATTATTTCTCAACGAGCCGCAACTGACGTAAATAACCGCCCGCTGTACCATTTCAGTCAAAATATTGCGTTGCAAACATCAATAACAGCTTTAAGTTGTCAATGCTGGCAAATGACCATGGTATCAGCAGTGGGATAATCCACGGATATCTTTGCATTTAATGCACGACGTGAAGCGGAGTTTAGTTTACTTGTTTAATTAAAAAGGCACCGGAATACATGAAATGGCATTTAACGTTACTCCAGTAACATTTTTCTGGGGGAGGACCCACCCACTTTTTTTTATCTTCCGACGCCCATGGAACTTCTTCGGGTTAGGTTTAGGTATGATGTTTGATTTTTTTTTTACTTTAAAACAAATTAATGTGGTTCCATTGGTTTTTGATGTTGTCTGTGATTTATTTTAACATTTGTGTTAACAATGTGTGTTTGAGTGAACGTCGCCGTCTCGTGATCCTGTTTCTGACCCGTTGAATTGAATTGTTGTTTTTGTCATTTCTATCTAGAGTCGTTGATCGAGACCAGATTCTGTAACTGTTCAATGTTCAGATTCATCATGGATGACACACACACATCTAACGTTAGAGATGAAGATTTTTCTCCAGGATGCAGGTATAGAAAACAATGCGTGTTTGTTGTGGAAACGTGCAATTTTAATCCGTATTTTGTTGATAATAATAACATTTTAATTATAACAATTATATATTGTTTTCTTTTGGAGTCATTTTATTTGAATTTCATGTTAGAGATCTTAAAATATAAAACATTCAATACTCCTTCAGTTTTTGACTTACAAATATTTTCTTTTTTAATATAGTGTGATTTGTTCTTCCAAATAAATGTTTAAAGTTTGGTGTCTATCATTTTAATTAACGAGGGGGGTACATCTAACACTTGAGCAGTATACCAACCTAGATAAAGCCTCAGCTTTAACCATTAACACACGACCAGCTAAAGAGATCTCTCATCAACCAAGAATTCAGTTTCTTTTCAAAATTAATGAATGATAGGGGTAAAGTGTAACTCCTTCCTGACTTATTTACTTTTAGATATCTTGATACCTAAATATTTGACAACTCCTTTCATGGGAATATTGCATAGCCTACTGCTGTAAAGTTACAGGAACCTAGAGCCATAAGCTCACATTTATTAATATTCATGGAAAGACCAGATACAGATGAAAATGACTGCAGACACATAATTGCTTTTTCAACTTCAGTATAGTCTCTTAAGAAAGGGTAGTGTCATCGGCTAATTGTGTGCATTTAATTTCTATATCTTCTATTCTGATACCACGAAAAATATCTTTCTTAATATGAATGGCCAAAATGTGTAACCAACAAAAAAAAGCAATGACTAATAGGACTCTGAAAAAAAAATTATACCTATTTTACAGAGCTATTAATCTTATTATTGTCACGGTGTGGTTCAGGGAGAAGAAGACGAAGAGTCAGAAGTTCCAATGCAAACGTTTTACTAACGATATAACTCAAAGTTGCAGAAGGTTCACACACACTAAATACAACGGACAAAGACTGACTGAACTGAAGAAACTTAAAAAACAAACACAGATGAACACTGATTAACAGAACACAAGTGAAACAGATGATGATTAACTAGACACAGGGGATACAGATGAACAGATAATTAACTGTGAAGACAACACGTGATGTGAAGACAGGCAGACAAGTCCAATGAAAACAAACTAAACAGAACACAAGTGTGACAATTTTTTTAAATGTGTCCTCAAAACCATAACATGTAATGGCTTTTTAAAATAAAGTCATGTTCGATTGTATTGAAAAATCAACAAACAGAATAAAACCAGTATTTTCATTGATAATTTCACTATAATCTATAAGATCTAATACAAGTCTAATATTATTACAAATGTGTCTTCCTTTTATAAAACCTGACTGTCTCTCATCAATAATAAATTATAATCCTGATTTTTTTTACTGTCATTATTAATTAAGGTGATAGGTCTCCAATTATGTAGTGATAATAGGTCTTTATCAGGCTTTGGAATTAAAGATATTAGACATTGTGTCATGGAGGGTGGCAAAACACTCTGATTAATAGATCCTTTAAATACCATTAACAGAAATGCAGTTAATTGGTCCTGAAATATATATTTTTTAAATTCAACAGTTAAGCCATCATTACCAGGGGATTTGTTTTAATTAAAGGTTTTTTTTAATAGCTGTTCTAATCTCTGGAAATGGATACTTCCTTATCAAAGAGGGCTTTACAATCTTCATCAATACTATATTCTATGTTTTAGGGGCTATAAAAATCTTCTATTTTGTCTACGGAACATGTATTGCTGTAATATAATTTAGCATAAAAATTTGAGACATATTTTGAAATAATAAGGTCCTATGTTTCATAGCCATTAATATTAAGCGCTCAGCTTGTCAGTCCAGAACGGCTGATATTAAAAGCGGCTCCATCTGAAAGTCAGAGTGCGTCTCACGCAGAAACTCCAAATATGCCTGGCCGCAGAAGTAGATGAGGCACGTCATTCCAGGAAATCCCTATGGGCATCATACTATCGCTGTAGCTGAATAAACAGAAGATTGAAATGCTTTAATTGATTTATTAAATGTTGTCTTCTGTTGGAAAGAGGTTCATAAAAGCTTCTCATGTTTGGAAAGATGTTTGACGCATGTTGCTTTTTCAAGTGCACGTTATAAGCGACTCAAACTCGCAGTGCTTTCAGACGGAGCAGCGTTTACTACTGATCACAGAGCCGTACGTCACTGACAAGCTGCACATAAAAAATAATCAAAGCCTTTGATTTCATAATCGCAATAATATAAAACTATTTAAGCGCAATTTCCATGTTAATTGCGATTATTCGTAAAGCCCTAAAATGATTATAATCATAAAGGATCAAATCTGCTCTGTTATAGTTCAGTTGATCAGAAGAGATCAGAACCAGAGCCCAGCTGTGTGTCTATGAGGAGTGACGCGTCTATGGATCCGCCAGTAAATTTTAAGAGTGGAGATACCAAGACTGTTTGCAGGTAAATCATTTCTAAAACAATATGATTATAGTATGGCATTTTGTATTATCAGTATAGTATTGTGATATTAAATAATTATTTTTGTACATTGTTTATAGTTTTTTTTTATTCTTTATCTGATATTTTAACATATATAGAGTTGCTTACAAAGACCCAAATCTATGAGAGTGCTTAGTTAAAAGTACAGTTTTTGTATCAACATCAACATAGTGTAAATAAAAACCTGTGAAGTGTTTATATGGATAAAATACGTTTTTTTAATACAGTAATTTAAACTGAAATACAGAAATTGAAATCACTTTAATCTCTGTTATAGTTCAGTTCATCAGAAGAGATCAGAACCAGAGCCCAGCTGTGTGTCTATGAGGAGTGACGCATCTGGTCATATAATAGAGTTTAAGAGTGGAGATAAACAGACTGATCTCTGGTATAACGTTTTTGTAAAAGATATGATTTGGTTATGATACATAATACAAAAAAGACTTATTGTTTATTAACTCTTGTTAACTCAATAATTTGGTATGTTAATTTTACAGCCATGAAGTCCTCAACACTTTTAGATCAAATCTGATGAAGAAGTTTGAGTGTCTGTATGAAGGAACAGCAAAGCAGGGAAACCCAACACTCCTGAATGAGATCTACACAGAGCTCTACATCACAGAGAGTGAGAGTGGAGAGATCAGTAATGAACATGAGGTGAGACAGATTGAGACACAATCCAGAAGAGCAGCAACAGAGGACACACCGATCAAATGCAATGACATCTTTAGACCTTTACCTGGACAAGACAAACCCATCAGAACTGTGCTGACGAAGGGAGTCGCTGGCATTGGAAAAACAGTCTCTGTGCAGAAGTTCATCTTCTTCATGTCTTTTTTCCTGAAACAAAAAAAATGGAAATATCCTTTGACAAATATAAAAAGTTGTTCATCTTTGATGGTCTGGACGAGTGTCGTCTGTCTCTGGATTTTCAGAGCAATGTGAGGTTGTGTGATGTAAGTGAATCAGCCTCAGTGGACGAGCTGCTGACGAACCTCATTGTGGGGAATCTGCTTCCCTCTGCTCTCATCTGGATCACCTCCAGACCAGCAGCAGCCGATCTCGTCCCCTCTGAGTGTGTCCATCGAGTGACAGAGGTACGAGGCTTCAATGATCCACAGAAGGAGGAATACTTCAGGAAGAGAGTTAGTGATCAGAGTCTGGCCAATACAATCATCACACACCTGAAGTCCTCAAGGAGCCTCTACATCATGTGCCACATCCCAGTGTTCTGCTGGATCTCAGCCACTGTTCTGGAGAAGATGATGAGCGAAGCAGAGAGAGGAGAGATTCCCAAGACTCTCACTCAGATGTACACACACTTCCTGATCCTTCAGACCAACATCAAACATGAGAAGGACTATGAGAAGAAGGTGACAGATGAAGACATGATCCTAAAACTGGGGAAAGTGGCTTTTCAGCAGCTTGTGAAAGGCAATGTGATCTTCTACGAGGAAGACCTGACACCTGTGGCATTGATGTGACAGAAGCATCAGTGTACTCAGGGTTGTGCACTCAGATCTTCAGAGAGGAGTTTGGCTGGTATCAGGGGAAAGTCTTCTGCTTTGTTCATTTGAGCGTTCAGGAACATCTAGCCGCTCTATATGCCCACCTCTCCTTTACAAACAACAACATATATGTGTTTGAATCAATCACTAAACAGAGTTTTGTGCCTCAAATGAATGGTTGGTTTATTTCATTATCTCCTCTGCATCAGAGAGCTGTGAATGAGGCGCTAAAGAGTAAAAATGGGCATCTGGACCTTTTCCTGCGGTTCCTTCTGGGTCTGTCAGTGGAGTCTCATCATATTCTCCTTCAAAGACTAATGAAACAGACAAGCAGATCTGACAGCAATGAGGAAACAGTTGAGTACATCAAGAAGAAGATCAGGACCATTGATTCTCCAGAGAAATCCATCAATCTGTTCCACTGTCTGAATGAACTGGGTGATCATTCACTAGTGGAGGAAATAAAACAGTATCTGAAATCTGGAACAATAAAGGAAGCCAAACTCTCTTCATCTCAGTGGTCAGCTGTAGTCTTTGTGTTGTTGACATCAGAGGAGAAGCTGGATGAGTTTGATCTCAGGAAGTTTGTTGGAGGAAACAATAAAGCTGCTGAAGATATGAAAGTTTTTCAAAAGCTGCTTTCTGTGATTAAAAAATCCAGATCAGTTCAGTAAGTGTCGCTGAGAACAATCAATTTACTGTTAAAACATTACGAAAATAAAAGTTCATAAATCTCCCGTGCTGCAGATGCTGTCTAGAGTTTAGTGGTTTTTAAACCATTTTTAAACCAATGACATTGTGGAATAAGGAAATATTATTTATCTTTCTTAAATTAGGCTAATGTTTTGTGCTCTGTGACATTTTAGATCTCAGTGCATTGATCCATCAAACGTAATGATTTTTACTTTAAGTGTGTACTTTCTCTTTAATTGTGGTTTTACTGCTAAACTGATCTGATCTGAACTGAGAGAGTGAAGAGTGTGTCGTTGTTCTCTACAGGTTGAGGGATTGTGGCGTCACAGATGAAGGTTTTGCTGCTCTGGCTTCAGCTCTGAGATCAAACCCATCACACCTGAGAGTACTGGATCTGTCATGGGATAAAATAGGAAATTCAGTGAAGCTTCTCTCTCCTGTACTGAAGGATCCCCGCTGTAAGCTGGAGATACTGAGGTGAGATCATCTCTCTGATATTCACGCATGTCTTTTCCTCAGTAAGAAGTGTCCTAGGGTTCCTACGCAGTATGGAATTTTATTTGAGTAATTTCCAGGTCTGGAAAAGTATGGAAAAAAGAAAGCGGAGTATGGAAAAATATGAGCATTTCCAGACTATTGCCCCTATTTAGTTTTCTATAATAGAAATGTATCAAGAAGTGTGTTTTCATGTCAGCTGTTTAGAATTCAAGGTGCACCTTTTCAATATGCAAAAATGCAGGTTATAAGCATTTTGGGTTTCTTCTCATGATATTTTTATTACCGTATTACAGAGCCACTAAAAGGACCTTTGTAAAAATTGCGGTGTGGTTTCTTGACCACCACAGAGTATGTGTTAAAGCAGACCTAAAGCCTTGAAATATGATGTAATGCCCTAAAGAAAGCCAAATTTTGACCTTTTTTTAAAGTACCAGTATTTTTATAGTCCCTTGTACTTGGCAAATAGAACATTAGCAGAAGTATTTCAGTAAGACAGTAATAACGTGAGTTAGTCGTTAGCCAGAGACCTACACAATATAAAACACAAAACGACATATTTTGAACACCCTGTAGAAAATATATACATCAATAAATAATCATACTTCCGTCATCTTTACAGCCCATTCTCATCCCTAGGCGTCATGAAACTGACGCCTTGGGAATCATTTTGACCATGCTTCAATATTTGACGCTTTAGGCACCCTTTAGCGTCAGTTACATGACGCGATCCTAGGGCGTCATCTCACTGACGCTTTACCTTTAACGTCAGTTAGATGGCGCTATCTAATCCTAACCCTACTCCAGACCTAACCCTACCCGCGTCATCTAACTGACGCTAAAGGTAAAGCGTCAGTTAGATGACGCCCTAGGATCGCGTCATGTAACTGACGCTAAAGGGTGCCTAAAGCGTCGAATATTGAAGCATGGTCAAAATTGTCATTTTAGTGACGCCTTGGGATGAGAATGCGTTGATCTTTAATGGATGAGCGTTTTGTAAACCTCATTTAGACCTCATGGAGATTTGAGAAGCATTCGTCAAAAATGTATACCATTGTTGTATCGCTTTATGAATTTTAACCAGACTCTTAAGATCCTCATCCTTTGAAAGTGTTTACAAAGAGAATTTGCTTTTCCAGAGCAGAAAACAGCGTCTTCTCAAAATACACAACACAAAACAGCTACAGTGTTTAAGGGCGGGTCAAGTTGTTCACGGGCGGACAAAGTAGATCATAGGTGGGCATTAGGCAAATGTGTTACCCAGTGACATGTAGCCGTCACTGAAGTGGGATTCGAATTCCTGACAAAATTCCTTCATAACTTTGCAGATCGTTTACATTCACAGACAGCTACAATACACATTTCATGAAAGGGAATATTCGAAAAAGCATAATTGGGACACTTTAAATATGGTCTGGAAATCTACAGGGAAGTTTGGACATTTGAGCCTGGGAAAGTATGGAATTTTGAATTGTGTAGGAACCCTTTTTAATGTACATTTTAGAAATGTTCTTTAAACACATTAAATCGCAGCACAAAAGACTGAAGTTCATTTCATTCATCTCCATCACATCACATGACCTGTTGCTCCTGTTTTTGACCCACCAAACATTTACTGGAGCTTCATTTGCTTTCTAACAGAACACAGTGATCCAGACCTGTCTAAAATGTCTTGATTAAAGTCCAGATATTACTTTCTCTAACGTCTACATTACAATGTGAAATATTAGCATAATGCCCACCCAAAGGCATACGCAGCTCAAACGGCAGTCCATGTTGTTATTGAGTATTATTTGGGATTTACTTCTTCAAAACATTGTTAGATCAATGATAATATCATGCAGTAAAATAGTTTGTTGTTAAAGTGGTGTTTCTGAAGTTGAGGGTTAGGATATACTAATACACCCCTATTTATTATCCCTCTTGTCTTTGTTATTGGTGATAAAATAAATAAAAACCTTTGTTTATGACCATTTATGTTATGTTAGGTTAATTTGACATTGACTAGATTAACACTGTCTATGACTCGTGTTTTTGACAACCACCACCATGCTTAAAAAATTGCAATCTGCTGATCTCCCAGCTTAACCAGCTGAATGTGCCCAAACACTCTCTAAAACCATGCAGGGGTCTTGTAAGCAACCAAGTCTATACTTAAAGCAGCTGAGGGCTGCTGGACAGTGCTTGTTAATGGATGCGCACGCCCGGGTTATTATTCATTGCAATGTCCACACACAAGTTAATATGCCTACAGTCGTAGATTTTTTTCTACTGTGACTGGTCTACATTTCAATTAAGGAAGAATCCAAACAAACAGTCAATAAATCCACAGTTCCAGTCCTTCACCAGTTCATATTTCGTACTTGCATACATGGCATAGCATTACTTGGTGTAGCCAGAGAATGTCTAATAAGGGGAGAACTTCCACTCTCAGTAAACTTCCGGCTTCTGAACTGGTTGCAGTTCCACTCTGGTTCCATATGAGGGCAATGATGTCATACACATCATATGACCAGAGATACTGCTTTACGGCAGTTAAAAAACCCATTCAGTCTGTAGAAGGTGATTCAGTGAAGTAGTTAAAATATTAACAAAACAATGGCTCTTACAGGTCTCATTTATGAAACTGTGCGTAGGATCCTTACTAAAAGTGTACGTGCGCCCGAAAGCAAAAATTGGCGTAGGCCTACACTAGGGGTCTAACTAGGCTTGGGAATCGGTTCCAGGTTCCGGTTTGGAACCGGTTCCAAACGTTCCGATCCATCGGAATCGTACACGTCCACACGTTAACGATTCCACTAACGATTCCGAATGTTCCGTTCCATCCATTCCCGCGTCGCGGCATGACGTTACAGTATGCGACTGGATTTTTAAATCCCCCAAAAGCGCGATGGCTACGAGACGATCGAGAGTGTGGCTTCATTTTAAATGCAGACCGGGAAGCAAATCTGGGCGACACAACCCCTCCCGTCATTTCAGCTCCAATAGGCTCTATGCACGTCGCAGTTCCGGGTTCGCGTGTACTAGGCTATCAACTTCCGGTTCAACTTCCTGTTTATACACAGTCAGATATGGCTCTCTTTTATAGTCGTTGTCTTCAGGACTTACCTCGTCTGACGGTAAATGATGTAGACCGACTCATTAAAAAATCATGTGCTGCTCCCAACAGCAAGCGGGAAAAGGGATTTAAAATGTACATCGGGAGCTATATCGACAATTATGAGGGTAAGTAGCTAAAGTACTTACTATATTACCCCTCAGGTTGTGTAGGTCATTTTGACCCGGTGAAAATTTTAATTAGTTAATGTTATCGCATTGGACTGAAACTTAGCGACTTTGTTTACAAAGGGTATAACTACTTCTCAAATGTGTTTGCGAGAAATTGAAATGAAATGAAAATTTGACAATTTTCGTAGGGGAGAGCGGGGCACAACGTAACGTGGGGCTAGTTGTAACACACTTGTTTTAAATACTTCCACACATGCCAGCATGACGAAACCTCTTTTACTGTCTATGGACGAAACTTAGTGTATTTACTAGTTGTCATATCAGCACTATATAGAGAAAAAAAATGGGCCAAACTTCAGAAATCGTTGTAAGATATCACTGAACATTTATTTAACCATAGCAAAATTATTTTTCTTACTATATTAATTTTTCATCTCTATTCATTTGTGTTTATTTAAATTTAGACAAATCTGATACATTAAAAAATGCCATTATTTTATATGAAAAAGTTAATAATTGTATTTTATTGAGAAAATGTTTTGGTTTGACTTGTATATATTTTCTATTAGATCAGATAACATTTTAAGCTGTCATGTTACAATGTGCCCCTCCTATATGGCATGTTGTCACATTTAACTTCTATTCTTTAGGGGTATATCAAGAAAAAAAAGTATACACCGTATTAGTAAAACAAAACCACATAATTGTACTAGACATGTGGGAAATTAATGTGGGGAAAAATAAATACTCTAAACCTACATTTTAACATATGTGCCCCTCATCTAGAATACACTATGCTTTTATTAGTTATATTTTCCTCTTGTTAACAGTTTAGCTCTTGAGAGGAATTTGTCATCTAAGCTTCTATTTCTCCCTAGATGGTGTTAAAACACTCGAAACCTGTCATTTTGGCGAGCACTCACTGCTCCTGTGTGGCGGGGTGTGCCTTATGCAACCATTTGGTTGCACTACTGTATCAAACAGCACACTTCTCCCAATTAAGCATCCCTGCTGTACCCCCAGTGCACAGTTGCACTGACACTGAGCAGATCTGGCATAAACCAAGGACCTTGGTAAGTCATCTGTCTGTCATGTGAATTGTACCTATGCACATGTAGCTATTGTGATGCCATGTCAAAATGTGTCTTTGCTGTCAGGGTGTTAGGCCAGGTCCGGTGGGAGACATGGAGGTCCGCAAACCTCAAAATTCAACCGCGGTTTGTGTGAGGTGAGATTATTTTACCTTTAGTTTATGTGTTTAATATGTACGCTGCAGTTTAAAAAAAAAAGTTTTTTCACTTTACCTTTTTCAGAAGTTCTCTCTACAAAGCACTGGACGGAGAAATGCCAGATCTAGCCACATTGAGAGTGGCAGAGGTATACAAGCACTTTCCCCCTTTGCTTGCACCTCTAGTGACCACCATGGGCATGTCAGCAGAAGTCCCATTAGTTCAGTCAGCTTTTGGGGCTGTCCAGGCAGGGAGTGTGCTGTCATTTCAGCTAAAACCACCAGAAATGCGGGAAATCATCAACATCCCAGGCGCCCCTGCCCAACCTTCTATTCCCATCCAAAGCTATAGGCTTGAGCCAACCACATGCGCCTATGTGTTATCAGAGGAGGAACATGTATATATGAAATCGCTACAGGTGTCATTCGACATGGCCCACAGGGTTGAAGCTGCAACACGGGAGCAGAGCTCATGCCAGGAATGGCATCGACTGAGAAAGATGCGAGTCACATCTACACGCTTTCA